TAATTTTTAACAGATTTGTTAATTGTTTGCTTTTATATCTATTGTCTGAGTAGACTGCACAAGGAGAACATTGCTAAGATTTATGTCAGAGAATGTTTTGCCTATGTTTTCTTCTAAGGTTTATCATGTCTTATATATTTAAGTCTTTAAGCCACTTTGAGTGTATTTTTGTGTATGCTATGAGGGAGTGTTCTAACTTCATTGATTTATATGCTGCTGTCCAGTTTTCCCAACACCACTTGCTGCAGAGACTGTCTTTTCTCCATTGTATGTTCTTGCCTCCTTTGTTGAAGATTAATTGACTATAGGTCTGTGGGTTTATTTCTAGGCTCTCTATCTGTTCTATTGATCCATACGTCTGTTTCTGTGCCAATACCATGCTGTTTGATTGCTGTAGCTCTGTAGTATTGTGTGAAGTCTGGGAGGGTTATTACTACAGCTTTGTTCTTTTTCTTCAATATTGCCTTGGCAATTCTGGGTCTTTTGTGATTCCATATAAATTTCAGGAGTATTCGTTTTAGTTCTGTGAAAAATGTTCTGGGTAATTTGATAGATATGGCATTACATCTGTAGATTGTCTTGGGCTATATGGCCATTTTAACAATGTTGGTTATTTCAATCCAAGAGCATGAGATATCTTTCCATTTAAGTCATCTTTAATTTCTTAAATCAATATTTTGTAGTTCTCCATGTATTAAGTCTTACCTCCTTGGTCAGATTTATTCCTAAGTATTTTTTTGTTTTGGATGTGATTTTAAAAGGAATTGTTTCTTTACTTTCTTTTTCTGCTATTTCATTGTCAGTGTAAAGAAATGCAACTGATTTCTGTATGTTAATCTTGTATCCTGCTACCTTGCCAAATTCTTTTACCAGCTCTAGTAGTTTTTGTTTGGAGGTTTTAGGGTTTATAGTATCATGTCATCCACATAATAGTGACAATAAAAGTGTAGTTCTTCTTAATTCATTTGTTCTTTTTGTTTTCCTTTTGTGGTTTGATGGTTTCCTTTTGTATTATGCTTGAGCTCCTTTCTTCTTGGTCTTTGTGAATCTATTGTATGTTTTTGATTTGTGGTTACCCTGGTTTTCAAGTATATTGACCCACAATAGTATCTACTTACTTTAAAATGGTAGTCACGTAAGTGCAAACACATTCTTAAAGATCTACATTTTTTGTTCCCCTCCCCCAACATTGTCATGAACATTACATCTTTATGTTTATTCTTTTGCTGTTAATTGTAGTTATAATCACTTTTATAAAATGTTTTAATTTTTTTTTAAATCTATGAACTGGCTTATTTAAGTGATCTTCAATTATTTTATGTATTTGCCTTTTGTATTGTGACTTTTCCCTTTCCTAAAGATTCTTGCTTTTCTATTTAGAGAAGACCCTTCAATATTTCTTTTAGGGTAGGTTAAAATTGCTATACTCTTAGTTTTTGCTTGTTTGAGAAATTATTTCTCTCTCTTCTATTCTAAATGATAATCTTGCTGGGTAGAGTATCCTATGTTGCAGGTTATTCCCTTTTAGGACTATATTATGCCACTCCCTTTTGGCCTGCAAAGTTTCTGCATAGATATTGCCTGATAGCCTTATAAAGGTTCTCTTGTAACTGACTCTTTAACTTTTGCCATTTTAATTGTAATATATCTCAGTGTAAGTAAGTCTGTTTGGGTTCATCTTGTTTGGGACACTCTGTGCTTCCCGCACCTGGATATTGGTTTCCTTCCTTAGGTATGGGAAGTTTTCAGCCATAATCTCTTCAAATATGTTTTCAATCCCCTTCTCTCGAAACTCCTATTCTGCATAGGATGGAATGCTTCATATTATTCCATAGGTCTCATATGTTGCTTTCATTTTTTTTCATTTGTCTTACTGTCTGCTTTTCCAATTGGGCAATTTCCATCATTCTATCTTCTACGTCACTTATCCCTCCTTCTGTTATTTAGTTTGCTATTCATTTCTTCTAGAGTGGCTTTTAGCTTAGTAACTGAGTTTTCTAATTTCTAATTGAGTTTTCTAATTTTGACTGCTTCCCCTTTATAGTTTGTAGTTTTTTTTTTTACAGTAACCTGCAGTTATATCAGTAATCTTTAATTCCCTTAGCAGTTTTATTACCTCCTTTTTCAACTCGGGGTCTAGTAAACTAGTGAGGTCTGTCTCACTTGTTCCTTCAAGAGGTTTCTCATTCTTTTAATTGGAAGTAGTTTCTCTGTTTTTTCACTTTACTTAACTTTCTCTGTCTCTACAAATTTAGGAGAAGCATTTATCTACTGTGGTCTTGAAGGTCTACTTTGGGGAGCATCCCTGTGTAGACGGTGCAGGTCCACTATTTTTGGTGCAGGGGCCAGCCGTATCTTTCCCCAGTGTGCTGGCCCTTATCCTCTTGATAGGGGGTGTGACTACTGTTGTGGTGTCCAGAGCCTGTATGGTATATTGGGTGGGGTCTCCTCTTTGTTCTGTGGCTGTCACAGCCCTGTCTGGGAGGGGATCTGCTCCCAAGTTGTTGAGTGCAGCAG